TTTTAAAAAACCAAAAAACAAAGAAAATAGGAATTAATTTTTTTTTTTTTTTTTTTTTAGACAACAGGACAAATCTATATGTGAGCTAGAGTACCATGTCAGAAAAGCCAGAGGGCACAACAAAGTAAATCGAAACACGTATAGATGTAAAAATGTTATTTTTCACTCTAGCAGAACAGAATTGCCTCTTCAGCCTGAAGCCCTGATACCTACGCCTAAGTCACATCCAAGCCAAATGCACACTGCAATTAATAGATGAGATTTTAACAAAAGCAAGCAAACCAAACTGCTATACCATGCTTGGAGTATAATCACAGTCACGGTCTGAGTGAGGCTTCTCTCTGTCCTACAGCTCATCTTGAATGGGATTTCAAATTGCTAGGTTTTTCTAGCAGCCCTAATGCTAGGAGCTGCAGGTTGGTTAGCGCTGATGCATTATCACTCAGCTAGCATAGCAGAATTTTGCTTCCGATTATTTAAAATCTAAGCCCTGACTATGGGAACAGAGAATCTTTATGCTGAAACAGTATTAGGACTACACCACAAAATTTCCAAGATAAAGGTGAGACTCCATCTTTACTTGCATCAACTGCTTCTTTTCTCAACACGAGAACAAATTAAGGATGAATCACCAATATTATCTGTACATTTCTCAGCTTTTATAATTTTAGGACGTAGCATAGACGTTGTCTCAAATTAGCATAGAGTTTTTTAAAAAATAAAATGTCTTACTACATGGAGTATGATGACACCAACAAAATATGAAATCTTGTGAATTAAACTCTGTGTTTCTAAATGGCTACAAGGGAAGCAGGAGCTCCTACAAGCTTTCCAAGCTGGAAGAGGACTTTCACAAAATGACTGGCTCTATTTCACAGCTTCTGTCAGCTCTTGACATTAGCCGGCTTTCACGTTTGTGCTAATCTAAGCGATTAGCAAGTTTGTACAAAGGAGCAGGCAGGTGGCTGTTGACACGCTGAAACATGCCGTGCCAGGCTGATGTCTAGGTGGTGCTGAGAGCACAAGAGCACCAAGAGCCACAGAGGCAGTGGTACTTTTGCCAGCAGCGTGAATTCACTGCTGGTATTTACCTCAACGCTGCACTGGGTCTTACACAGCTAATTTGGCTTCCTTGGTGCGCTGGGTGCGGGTTAAAATCAAAGAAATGACGGTCAATGTTAAGGGTCACATGATGACATGAGACAAACCTGAGGTAAGTCCTCATGTTCTCAAATGCACAAAAAACAAACCAGGTGCATCACCTGCACATCTTACACCACTGAAACTCACTGCAACCCTTCGTTTGGGTGTGAAGAACAGTGCACTGAGTTATACGTGAAAAAAATGTCACGGGCATGAGCACATTATGAAAAATTTAGTGTTAATGCGCATTTTTCATTCTCAGGTGACACCTAAACTTAAGACAGACTAAAAGCTGCTGCTTCTCTTCCTCCGAAGTCATACAACTATTATTGTGGCTTATTTTTAGATGCCCTGCCTTTGCTTCAGAAACCTACAACCAGTGCCATTTCAGGTACTTATACACCCCACCAGAGTGGTGGGCCGTGTCTCCATCCTCACAGAGCAGTTGGAGCAAGCGAAGCACAGAGACCGAGCAACTGGCTCAAGGTGACCCCGGAGGCCCGGGGCAGAGCTACGAACAGAAAAAAGATGCGCTGAATCTCGTGCCAGTGCTCTGACTGTGAAAGAGAGTCCTGAAATCCACAGCTTGTACCACATAGTTCATGTATAAGCATAAATCTACGTATATTTACATATATAAATACACAAACACAGACACATAACATATTCAGTACATTAAACCGAAGTGCTGATCTGATCATAACTAAGTGAGAGGGACAACCACACTGAATGGTTTTCTAAAAGCAATTAATTAAAGCTACATTATTTGAACAGTTAACAAACTGCCCTGCCTCTTACGCCATTGCTGAGATTTCTTGAGAGCTGCTAAGCATGAGGGTCTCTCAGTATGTCTGGGCTACCCAGAGCACCCTTAACTCTTAAACAGCTGGGAAAACAGCTTTGCTAACAGACTCTAAGTGGCTCCACTGCAGGTGTCAGTGCAGCACCTGTTCACGATAAGGGCACAGCTCACCTGAAATCTCACCTTGGAGTTTATTTTTATGACCTGTGAGCTGCAGCCTCTTGGGTCAAAATTGCTTAACGCTACACAATCCTTCTTGGGCAACAGCCGAGCACGAGCTCTGCTTCTTCTAACAGGCAGAAAGAATAGGGCACGATCGAAACTTGCAGTAAAAGGACACGGTCAAGGACACGATGCAATTGCCTGCACAAGGCAGTGGTGCTCCACCCGGGGAGAAAGGGACCTTACTCACTTTTTTAGTTACTTCTGTTAATGTCAGAGGGATGTGCGTGTGTATGTCTGGGTGTACCTCCTGGACATACACATTTCTATTTACCTATTTGTGAAGATTTGTGAGCTGAGGGAGCAGGAAAACTTCATGGTGAGTGACCTCATTATTTGAGTGTGAACCAGGGCAAAAATCCCTTTCGAAGTAAATGGATTTGTATTAATGCAAAAGCAGTGTGAATGAGGACAGGACCTCCCATGTCTTGTCACGGGAGGTCAAGTTTTCCTCTGTACATTCTGGATCACTGGAGATAAAAATGGGCACATTTCAAGCTTTGATACTAAGCCAATTTGCAAGGGAAGGTTTAACACAAACCCCTTTGTTCTCAGCATGGGAAACAAAGCAAACCCAAGCACCGCCACCAGGTAAAGCGGAGGGGCACGTATTCTTGCCAGTCTGGTCTTGGGATTTAGTCAAATGTGAAATGCTGAGTTTGCTCCACTTCAGTCACAATGAAGCTCGTTGTCTTGTCACTTCATCGTTGCCTGCTTTGTTACCTCATTAAAATGTTATGGTTGTTATTTAGGGAAGAAACCAAGGTGAAAAATTACAGATCCTAACTAGCAGCGCACACAACCCCCTCTCTCCTTTGCTCCCCACCTTTTGTGGTAAGACATAGGAGCAGGATGAGATGAAAATGCCCCAAAGACCTTTCCCTCTGACTGTAAATGCAGTTTATCCAAATTAGCCGCTAACCTTTCTTCTTCTCTGACCTTTTCCCCCCGCCCCCGCACTGCTTTCCTCTCACCTCCCTCTGACAAGTCCCACCTCTCTCAAGAGTTCATTATTTTGAACAGCCTGTGCTGATGCAAGCCAGTGGAGGTCAATTAAAGAAAAGATTGAACAGCAAGATATTTCCCAGTGAGGCACCAGCTTGCTCTCCAGTGAACAGAGAGTTTAAGATGTACCAGGGCAGGAATTTAATGGGAGCAACGATTTCAGACTATTGCATAGATTTTAAGAAATAGCCATACCTCATCACTTTGGTTGTCGTTATTACTGCTATGAGATCTTTTAGTTTTGGAGCTAGACCTCTGGGAAAAATTAGCTATTGAGAGTGGGGGATAGGAAGCAGTAAACAGCTCTTCGGCATGGCGAGCATGATGTTATTTGAGACAAGAAAAGGTAGGAAAAGAAAAGTTTTATTCCTCTTCGCAAGTGATTTGTAAAGTGTTCTGTTAATCCAGGCTATGACTCTCTCTCTGTAATGGAAGTCCTCAGGGGGAGTTCAGGCTTGTGTTAATTGCCTTGGTGCTCGGCCAAATTCACCGTGGTTCAGAGAGCATAAATTCTTAGCAGTAATTTCTGAGTCCCTAGATCTCCTCGTGGAGGGGACCCGCCTGCTACACTTCTCCCAGAGGGCCTCTGCACGTTAGTATTCCTGGAATGGGCTTGTGGGCCAAGACCAGTGCTCAGAAAAATCCCCTCCTAATCCGCATGTCCCTCCACCCAAACACAGCTGCTTGGCGGGCCCCGAGGGGCAGGGAGAGGGAGCACGGGGTGGTTGGATGTGCAGAACCCACCCATGGGCATCTCAGGTGACAGGCAAATACCCTTCACCTCTCCTTCCTCGGGCAGGAGGGACACGAGCTACAGCGAAACTGTACCAAGCAACATTTGCCCCCTTTTTGTTCTTTGAATGGCAGCTATTCCCTATCCCCACCTCATCTGGAGTTAGATGAGTCTGAGAGGATGAAAAGTGCTTAAAGGGGCAGCTCGCTATAGGTCACCTGATTTTTTAAAATTTTTTTTTTTTTTAGAAATTGCCTGTCCAGATGATGAATTCAACTGGGTATTTATTGCTGACTTCAATAAGGCATCTAGACCTAGCAAGGTAATCTTACTTATTACAGCATGTCATGTTACAACTTATCATCATAATACTGTAACAAAATGTCAGTGCTGAAGGAATTTTAAGAACAGCTTTTTAATGGATGAAGTGGGTTGTTCCCTTGGAGTTGGAATAACGCCACCAAAAAAATTGGGGACAGTAGCAATTTCTATAGTGCAAGGTCAAAAGTCTTTTCAGCGGCTTCTGCAGAACCTCCTTCCCTTCTTATTACCAGCTACACATGGTTACAAGGGGGCAACGTGGGATACTTATGTTGAATTCACCCTGTAGGCATGTGTGTGCATTACACCTCAGTGCAAACAGAAAGGTCTGCTGGGCAAAACACTTGCCGTGCTCAATTAAACTTCTGCTTGATCTGAGGTTTAAAATCCTTTGGTAATAAGACTTCAGTACAAATTGAAAGAAGGATCCTGCCACTCTGCTGTAGACACAACGACACATCTGGGACATGCTCATGAAAGGCAGGGCTGGGGAATAATAACAATTTTTGCAGGATTCACTAGGTGGTTGACATTTCTAGTTGTTATCTATCTGCTTGCACACTTTATTCACTTCTTTCCTCTAGTGATTTCTGAAGTTTTATAACAGTATGTTTGGTAGGTGAGAACAAAATTTGTCATTAGACCAGGCCTGTGGTTCTTTCATTAAAATTACAGTGTGCCACTAGAACAATTTACAACAGTTTAAAAAGACAATAAAAATCAAACAATGCTAAGTCATGTTGCTACCAACCTCACAAACGTGAGGGAGAAAAATCTTTACTAGGGAACAAGCCAAAAAAGGCTACAAGGAACGTGACCAGGAACGGGGGGTACGAACATAAAAAGAACCTACTGCCAGGCTGTCGGACTGACGCTGCTCTCGCCGTTGTTCCTACTTAAAAGCGCAACCAAGACGAAGAAAGAAATCTCTTAGAAGACTGCTGAGGTTTCAGGGAGCAGACACTGCTGCAATGCTATAGCAGCCTGGGCGTTTTAGTTTAGCAACTAGCTGTGGCCTCTGCCTGCAACAGGCAATTCATGTGCTTTGTACTTTTCCTACAAAATAGCGGAGGATGGGAACCGCATGGTGGTAACGTCAGCTCGGTTAGCAAGCCTCCATTTCTTAGGCAGCAGATTGGGTATGGGTAGCTTTGCTTTTTATCTATTACAGCCGTTCATCAAATGGCATCAGGCTTTGGATTGGATTCCTGTATGTGTTTACCCTTCAATGTACAGGGAAATGAAAAGCCTGGTAAAACGGTATTTCTAGCCTTTGCGCAGAGCGTAAGTCCCATGAAACATCTGCAATGCAGTTGGGATCTTTTCTTTTGGGCAGTGCTATGAGGGGATGCAAGACCGTCTCTGCCATTGTTATCAAGAATTTAAATGTTTAAAAAAATAAATTATAGGTCTCTGGGCTGCATTCTTAGCTCCTGCAGACAACAGCAGTATCCCCCCGTTGGTGACGGAGAACTCTGCTCATTTACATGAGCTGAGAATAAGGCGTGAGATTTTTAACCATAACATAGAATAATCCAGCTCTCCAAATGTAATCTTTGCATGTATATTTAGAGCCCTTTCCTTGTCATTATTTATACCATGAAAGCTTGTGATCACATAGGTCAAAAAGACTAAGCCACCTAAAAACGGATGGGAAGGGGTTGGTGCTGCTTTGCAAACATATGAGTTTTTAGAGGGCTTTCTCCACCTCTGGACATAGGAAATATGTCAGTGGTGAAATAAAGTTTATCTGCAATAACAGGATGGATTGTTGGCTACGTATATTGGGGCATCTGTAGACATTTACACCAGCTGCGAAATGGAATGTGTGTATCTGAAATGACTGTTCTTCAGTTTTAAGAGTAAATGACTTTCAAATGGGAGGAAACCCAAAATCAAACTATGCTGTTTTGTTCGTCCTTCCCTGCCGATACAAGATTGTTTTTTGCACTATACACCATTTTGCAAGTGCTCGTCTCTATTTAGTTTAAATGCCTCAAATGACAATCTCCTTTTCCAGAAGAAGTTTATTTCCCAATTTAATGCTTTTTTGGGTGGAATCTTCAAATGCAATCAGCATTGTTTTAACTTCTCTCTTTTCGTAATGGCTGCAGAAGCCATTACATTTACAGGGAGCAGGCTTAGACCAATGCTAGGCTCTGTATTCTTCACTGTTCAAAGCTCCTTCTGTTATAAAGACTAGATCCTCTTTTGTCCAGTTTCAGAATGTTACCAGCAATAGCCCGCAAAGTGGTTCCCTTGACTGTCTGTGGACTTACACCCTATAACATCGGTAATTTCTTTTAAAGATTTCTTTTAAGACTTGTTTCACACTCTGCTTTTGAAAATGGTGCTGAGGAAAAGGAAAAAGGCAAACAACTGTGCAGTAGGGAGAAAGTTACAGTAGTGCCATAATAGGATCAAAGTTGCTTCTCACCTTACGTGTTAATCTTCTCTTTATCTCTCGTTTTTCCTCCTGCTCCTCTTGCTCATTCCGGGCTGTAAAAGATTTACAAGGATCTCAGGCTGTGGACTCATCAGGCATGCATAGTATGCAACAAAATAAGCCTCTCCATCAGCATATTAATGTTTCAGGACCTCTCTGATGCACAGCGTGTCCCTCTGGGGCTGCTGAACTTCCTCAACCCGTAGCTGCTGCACTTCTTCACGCACTTCATAAAACAGCTACAGCCTCCTTCCTTTCCCTGCGTTGGCACCTCTTCATGCGTGTCACTTTCTAGAAGGGCCAGGCAGTGAGCCAGCTCTTCAGAAACTGTTATCTCCCTGCCCACAGGCCTGGTGGCCTCCGGGGGTTCAGCTACGATATGGTCAGATTCTGTGAGGTTGCAAGGTCAATGGTTGGAAAAGAAACACCTGCATTTTTTTTTTCCCATCTACAGAATAATTTCTCTGCAGCTACTCATTGGACAGAATGAAAAACAAATTCAGAATAGGGGTGCCAGGCAAAATCTGCAACTTCCCATGACCTGAGTAGAGTAAGGAGAGAGTGTCCTTCCATCATGAGCCTTCACAGCACCACACTGGAGTGTGAAAGCACATCCTAGGGCAATCCCCTTTCAACGTTAAGCCAAAAGATCACACAAGTACTTACCAGGGCAAGCCTCAACCATTATCCCTCAAGAGGACAATAACATTTGAGTATACTAATTCTTCTTCAACTTAGGAGCAGGCTGCCATGCATGTCTTTCCACCGAACTTTACTCAAAGTCACTAAAAGCCCATGTTTCTGGGTACTCAGCTCCTCAGTCAGTTAGGATCTGTTTCCACTGCTTCCCTGATGGCTGAA